ACCCATAAGAGATGACCACAAAAACATACAAAGCGAAACAAAGGGACAGAAAACGACTTTAAATCAACATATTTTGATTCTCTTTTTAAAGTATCACAATAGGAAAGTTTGGTGGAAGCGGCAAAATTCGAAAGAAATAGTTTTCATCGCTCGCTTGAGGTGGTTTTTGCTATTTTCAAATACTCTTAGAGGGAGATGGAAACACTTTCTCTTAATAATTTCTAATTGTAGTGCACATTTAACTCACATGACTGTTTCCGCTCTTCATCGTTCCCATGGCTCTACAATACATCCATGATCACTTCACACAGATCTGACGTAACCTTCCTCACAGGCATAAAAAACCCCCCAGAAATGTCATGTTTCCATCATTTTTTCTGCGTTGTTTTTCATTTGAGGTTCGACTTGCGCTCTTTTTATTACGACATTGTGTTGCGCCCTCTTCTTCTAGTTTTTGGCGCCACCTACTGTTTCTTATCTCTTTCAGTCGGGGTGTCTTGCTCCTTTATGCGAGGGGTTGGGGGGCCTTTTACATGTCTGTGCCCGGAGACCCGTCGTCTTACGATCCAGCCATGCTTTCTACCCCATATTCTTCTCAGTCAGGCCAAAGTCACATCTTGAATTTCCTCTTCCTCCTCCTGTTGCACTCTTTTGGCGTCTGCCACCATGAGCTGATCAGAGGACGCTCACTTCTGACCAGAAATGTTCATCATCCCCTCGTCTTGTATCCTGACCTTCAGCTGAACTCAGCCTCACAGCTCCAAGGAAGCCACTGAGACAGAGAAGCAAAATGTCAAAGATTGGGTGAAAAAGCAGCAGGTTCAACTTTTTCACATCTTTTGCTGAACTGAAGTACTTTTCTAATGTCTTGAACTTGTCTTGCACCTCTTGGTCTTCTTCTCCTCAGGGCAAAAAATATTTCAAAAGTATTTCAGATCTAATTTTCCCTATTATGTTTATACATTTTCAGCATCGGTCAAGGCTCATGAAGATGTTCCTCTTTGCACCAAATGTCAAGATGGTGTTTAAGGCCAGCTCATTCCAGTCCAAGTGCAACTAAAAATATGTGTAGGACATTCCAGATGAGAGGTTCTGCCTTTTGCACGTAGTAAAAAATACAATATTTTATTTATGCTGCAAGATACACAGCATGTCGCTTTCATTGTCAAATGCCCTCCTCAGATATCGCACTGAATAAATAAAATCTATATGAGTATTTTTTTCATATATGAGTTTCAATAGGACCTTGAAAAAAAAGTGGATTACAGACCTGAAAAATGATTCTCTGTAGAGGCATCATAATTCATTCAGCCATAAGAGGAAAGCTAAACACATTAAAGATCAAATACAGTGAGCCTGTCGTATATACAGAGTTAAATGTGGTGTGTGAAATTGCTTTAGATACAGTACGGGCAGAAATGTTACTGTAGAGGTTTTAAAACTTTAAAAAATAAATGAGAAATACATCACCCAAATCTTTCATCGTCCACACAACACACGTGGTCACTTCAAATATGTGTTAAAAAGATGAAATTAAAAAGACAATTTTTTGCAACTCCGTCCTCAGATTCAACCTGTGGATTTTATGATCTTTCAAATGTTAGTTTGAGTGTACATTTCACTCCGCTCATTTAGCTTCTTTACTGTGTGCCATGCTGGATATGAATACCGTGAGTTTGATTTGCAACACGTTCTGACAGCTGCTTGCACAGGACTCCATCAGCCAATCATCTCAAGCACCGCCAGCCTCTCAGCCAATAGTACGGCATTTGGCCCTGGGGGGGGTGTGTCTCATTAGCTAGATTCCAGGACCTGGCTGTGGCCCACTGGACGCACTCAGCTGGAAGGGATACAGTCCAGAGGGGGATTTCTTTATCTGCAGCATCGTCTCCTCTTCCTCGCTCTCTCTCTCTCTCTCGTCCTCCCCTCCCTTTTTAGGAAAGGAGGGGACAGGCGAGAAAGTAAAACACATAGAGAAACACAAAACTGTATTTATTTCTCTTGTTATTTGTTGAAAATCTTCAACACTCTGTTATCTGAAATGGCAGATTTCCTCATTTCACACATGAGCAGGCGATGCTACTTTCAAGATCGGCTGAAGTTTAAGTGTCTGTCCTCGCAGACATCTGGACGCCTCTTTACCCCTGCTGGAACATTTTGTGCTTTTGTTGCCCTCCCTTGTGCTATTTTGGGTACAGACTAAATAAATGCTTTTTGGGGATAAATTCATCTTTTTATCCTCCAAAAAACTTCAGGTAATTTTGCCTCATAATGTATTTCTGTAATGAGGCCCTTAACGCTTTGCCACCACTATTCACAATTCACAAATCAATAGTCAATGCTTGTTTCACGATTGGCGGTAGCTGTCTGTTCTCGCAGCCATGTGGCCACCTCTTTACCCCAGAAGGAACATTTTGTACTTTTTGTGGCCCTCCTGCGCTACAACTATTTTGGGTACGGACTCCAGAGGGCCTGTGTGGGATCATGGCTGGTTTATGTAACTGGTCAGAGCGGGGCTATCTAATTCTGAAAGGCTAACGTTATCTAAATGTAGGCCCTGGGAGGTAGCTGAGATGGGGAAGGGTGGGGGTCAGATCTGGAACTCCTCATGGTCCATCAGGTTCAATATAAATCCTTGCCCTCAAGGGACCAGCGTTGACCTTTACAGCCACGATCATGCTACCTGTCCACCAAGCTGGTCTCCACTTTGGCCTGTGCCAGCTACTCCCTGAGTGGTGACATCTGCAGAAACGGAATAAAGTTAACATCGCTAAATATTTTAGGAATTTTGAATAATATGCACAGAGAAAACAAAGAGCTGCTAACTAATGGCTTTATTATTGGTTAATGGATAATTTACTAATGATATATGATCAGTTAAGAAGCTAAGAAATCCTCCTCCAGCACGACACTTGTTCTTTCTTTATTAGCTAACACTTTAATTAATCAGGAAGTCCCCTCAAATGGACTGTTGGATCACATCTGAACCAAAATCCATTTATTAACAACTTATTTACATGAATTTATAAAGTCCATTTGAGGGGGGCTTCCTGATTAGTTAAAGAGATAGCTAAAAAGACAAAGCAAGCGTCATACTGGAGAAGGATTTTCCACAACCTGGCAGCCCAAAGGTTGTTGTTATTGTTGTCTTATAAACCCCTTGTAACAGAAAGTGGTAACAACAAATTAATTTTAAATAGCTTAGTAACAATGGAGTATGTTGTCTAATGTAAATAACCATAAAAGAAAAATAATTTTCAAATTGAACTACAAAGAAATAAACAGTTTAATTAAAAGCGAGATACACTTTGATTGGTTTTTACTCACATACGAGAAAACAAGATTTTTACAATGAATCCTTAAATACAGTGATAAGTAAATGCGTATTTTAATAACAGATCCATTTTTAAATACTGACTTCTAGGTATTCTTTCCTCACAAAAGCTATGTGTTTTATTTATAATGAAACCCATCGGGTTTTTTTTCCACTCGCACAATCCAAACGCACAATCAGAACATGATTTATCATAAACTAGCACCAGACTGCCATGCTAATTACGGTGAGTCAGAAATAAACCTGGAGTATTAAAGGCACTTGAATATTAATGGAGGTGTTAAAGCGGAATCACATTTATTTCCCTCCTGGGTCAAGTACTGAAAAGAAAAAACATTGTTTGAAAGACCATTATTCAAATGAGAGTGCACAGACCTTAATAGAAATCATCCCAACCATTAACTTCTGTTTTAACACAGCCCAGTAATTTTGTTTCCAACATTTGTAGACATGATTGACGGTGCTGTTCCTGCCTATTGTAGAGCATGTAAATGTGGCCTCATCCATATTTCCCAAAAAGCCTCATTCAGGACCTTAAAAGGCTCCAAATAAAGATAAATTAGGGTTACCGTGTTGCCTTAATCTGAACTAATGCCAGCTAAAACCGAAATGAGTGCCCACGAGTGGTTTCATCATTTACTGTTTGCACCATTCAGCATGACGATGCCGATATGGAGCAAGGATTCACCTTTGAACTCACAGATATAGCGGTGATTTTTGTTTCCTGAATGGCCTTGAATGGAAAGAAGAAAGAGTGTGATGGTTGTTGGGATCAAAGGTCACTAAAAAAAAATGATTTTACATGTTTGTACTTTTAAAATCCTCACGCCTAAACCTCTCTGGTGTTGGTGTTAATCAACCTTTAGACCATAATTCTGTCGAGGTTAAGAAATGTGTTTTTATGAAATAGACAACACAACTCGATGTTATGCACCCACATATCCTGTAACTTCTTCTTCTACTTCATTGAAGCTAGAAAATGCCGACACCAAGTAAAAAACTCAAACATTAAGACACTGTGTATTTTTAGGGTGCTTACATGAAATGAAAAGCGAGACCTATACTATATTATGAATGACTAATACATCATTTAAAGCGATACACATTTACTGGGTAGATTGATGCCACGCTTATGTCTGTGTGTTCGCTAAATATGACGCTACCGCTAGCAGCCAGAGCTTCATATTTAGCACAAATATGAGAGTGGCATTGGTTTTCTTATATCTATCTATCTATCTATCTATCTATCTATCTATCTATCTATCTATCTATCTATCGCTGTGTAAAAATGCATTTTATAATGATGAAAAAGTTTTTGTCTTGTGGTGTTCCAGAGATCTAAACTTTAAACAGCCTAAAACCATTTAACTAAACCACTAATAACCATGTCTTTGAATTCTCCAGAAAACCACCAGGCACTCTGTAATCAATCCAAGCTTATAATCAATAAATCGAGTGCTGTGATAGGCCTACTATAAATGAGATATGTGGTGATAAATCTAAGGATTTAAAAACTCAGAAAGGACGTTGCTTATGACATATTATGGCTGAGTTTGTGGTGGATACCTGATATATTTAAAACATTATGCTCAAATGTATGAAAATGATGTCTGCATCAACTGCAATTTCGCAAACTTTTTTTTTTCTCTCCTTAATTTTTCCCCAGACGCTTTGAAAACAGTCACACCCCGCAGAGATGATCAAAGAAGCAGGGATCCATCTTGACACAACACCCTCTCATCTAGCCTCTAAAGGCAGCTCACATTGAATGGACAGATTAAAAAAACATTGCTGCCACGTTAGATACAGACCAGCACTCACACTTAGCCTGATGATTGCACACGAGTGTTTTTGGCTGTTGCATCTGGCTCCGCGGATGATGGAAGTTGTTGTACGTATCCACCCGCATTTTTCCTGGCTGTCAAAAATTGCATTCTGAGAAAGCTCTACTCCTCTCATCAAGAGTCATAATTTACTTGTCAAAGCAGGAGTCCTCTCAGCGTGCGGGAGGCCTCCTGGGGTTATAATTGCGAGACAGTTTGGTTCTCCTGAAAATGCCTCCAGTCAAGATGGAGCACGGGCCTGCTAGTCAGCCTTTGTGTGCTCTTCCTTTTAAAAGTAGCCATTTACACAGAAAATTGTAAAACATGGTTAAAAAAAAAAGGAAAAAAAGAAAAATATTTGACTAGCTTCACTATACTTTCACCATCAACTCCTTGTCATCAGTGACTTTCAACACTGATTACCTCGGTGCTCAGAGAGTAATCTCTACACTGACACAAGGTCCCCATCTTGTGGAGAGAGTATGAAACTCTGTATTTCATGTGCAGGTCAGCTAAAGTTCGTCTGAAAAATCACATTGGATATGATTTTTTGAAGCAATGAATAAGTAATAAAAATTCATATGAATCTTTCATTGAGCAGGATGTCAAATTAAGTGGTGAAAAGCAGCATTTTTCTCAAGTATCATTTTGTAGTTTTACTGGAATATTTTTTGCTGCTGCCACATTTTTTAAGGAGACATTGTACTTTGAGATGCATAGTAACTTTTCAGATTAAAAACATACACTTATAAAAAAACAATGTAGGCTAACTGTTCAAGATTAAACCACCTTCTTCTTGCATAAAAAAAGAGTGAGTGTTTCATGTAGCCAGTGTTCCCAAAGAGGTAAAATGATCAAATATTTCACCAAAAAAAAAGAAAAGATTGTAAAAAAGTTAAGAACATAAACAAAAAATGTATTCTTTCCTGCCTCATTTATCACCTCACAACCCCTCAGATTTATCATGTGACCCTTTGGAGAGGCCCGACCCCCAAAAAATCTTAGGTGCTTTTAATAAAAATGCAGTATATTCATTTCGTGATATTGGTACTCTGACTTAAATAAAATAACTAAAGGATTTCACACCTCTGGTTACATTTATTGAAAAATATTCACATAACATGATGAAAAACACCTTTTTTACATGATAAATTCACAGTCTCTCATCACGGTTCTACATGCAGTTCAAAGCCACCATATCCTCCATTTTCTCAAATAATCCCTCAATCATTGAGTTGCTTTTCTTGCTGGTCAGTACGTGATACCTGCCCCCGCATCTCTCTACGAGTCCCATTAGCTCCCCGTTCCTCAGGATGTGCTGTTCTGCGCTCTCCCCTAATATTTCCCCCCATGTGAACAGCACCAGTGTGCGCTGCCAAATGTCTTCCCCCAACAAACTCATGTGCTCCTCTACGGCTCTCCTGTACTTCCGTGTGCAGGTCAGGAAGGCCGGCATGAGCAGGAGGACGACGTGAGGTCCTGGGTGACACCAGGAGATACTGTCATGGATGCTTTTCCTCTGCATCATGTTGGTCTGATCTGGTCCGTCCCGCCATCTCAGACCCAGCGGTTCTACGACGGCGAGGCGTCGTCCAGCTATCTGACCTCTCCAGGGCCTGAAGTTAGACCCATCGTGTTTGGATGCCTCTCCACTCAGGATGGTGACTCCGGCTGGGGAGTGAGACGACCAGGACTCCCCTAACACCATCACCCTCAAATCTGACCCTGGAGGCTCTTTGTTGTTTGTGCTTCTGTGACCCTGACTTGTAGATAAAAACTGGAAATCTTGATTGACCTCTGCCTTTTTCAAGTCCTCTCTGTCTCTTTTCTTTCTCGTCCCTTCCTTTTCCTCAGCCGTCCTGATCCCTTTTAGTGTTTCAGGTTGACAGTTATTGCTCTCTGCAGCTGACAATGCTGTTTTCATCCTCTGATCCTCCCCATCCTTTGTGTTCTCTCCTCTATCTGACTCTCTTCCTCTGCCCTTTCCCCTTCTCTCACTTACTTCCTGGTACACTAAATGCAAGTCGTCTTCTGAGCTCTCAACTGTCAGATCAAAAACATCCCTCCCATGGACTCTCCCATTGTCATCAACCTCATGCTGTCCATTCTCTAAACCTCTTGTCTCTCTTTTGAGCAACCCTTCCTCCCGTTCTGTAAGATTCTGTTCCCATTTCTTCAATTTCTCAAGCGACGTCTTTAATTTTTTCTCTTTGTTGTAAAGTTCCTCCTTCAGCAAAGCCAAGTCTCTCCCCATCTCGTCCAGCTCCTGCGTTGTAGAGTTTACGTGCTCTTTTCGCATCTGCAACTCTGACTTCCAGTTGAGCAACTCCTGCTCTTCATTTCTTAGATAATACTCCCTGTCTTTCAGCTCTTTCCCCTGATCTTTTATCCCTCTAACCTTCTTCTGAAGGTCTTGGCCATGACAGCTCAGCTCTTTCTGTTTGCCTTCCAGAGCTCTAAGCAAGCTTTCTAGCTCCTTTTCCTTTTTCTCGACATTTTGCGCTCTCGTTTTTACCTCTTGCTCGTGTTTATTTTTTTCTTTTTGCTGTTTTTCTAGACTCGCTTCCCATTCACTGAGTTCTTTTTCCTTACTTTCCAACTTTGCCTCTTTTTCAACAAGCTCTTCCTCTTTTGCATCGAGTTCATGTCCTCTTTTGCTTAGCTCTTCTTCATTTCTACTCAGAACCTGCTTCCTTTCCACAACATCTTTTTCCCTTTTCAGGAATTCCTTTTCGATCTCCTCGTCCTTAATTCTGAACTCACTTTGTTTCTCCTTCAGCTGTGTCTGGAAGTGCTCTCTCATTTCATTAATCTGCTTTTCTGCCTCACCTTCTCTCTCTTTCATCCTTTCTATCTCGACTTGCAGCTTGTCATTCGTCTCCTTTAACCCCCTGACCTCCACATCTCTCTCTTTAAGAATACTCTGGATTTCTCCTTCTATGCTCTTGACCTGCTCTTCATATCCCTTCAGATGTTTTCTAACTTCTTCTTCACTCTCCCTCTTCACCTCCTCACACTTTATTTTAAGATTGTCCGCCTCTTTTCTCATCTTCTCATTTTGCTCCTGCAGCTCTTCAACTCTCCTCCGACTTTCCTCATATTTCTCTGTCACGTCTGAGATCCTTCGCTGACTTTCTTCCCCCAAACGACTTATAGCGCAGTCCTTCTCCTTTGCGATGGATTCTATGTCCTTGTTCTGTCTCGCAATCTGCTTTTCGTACTCCTGAATCATACTCGTCATCTCCTTTTCCATCTTGCTGTTGAGCCCCTTCAGTTCAGACTTTGTTTGCTCGATTGTTAGCCTCAGTTGGACGAGCTCTTTCTCACTCTCTCTGTCTCTCTGCCTCAGCGTGTCGAGTTCTTCGTCTTTCTCCTGAAGTTTTTCCATAATTTCGGCATCTTTCTTCCTTCCCTGCTCTGTGTGTTGCTGCTGTATCTCGATGATACTGGAGGTTTGGTTTTTAATGCTTTCTTTCAGCTCTTCAATTTCTTTCAAGTAGCTCGCACATGCCTTCTTTGTCTCGGTAATCTCGCTGTCTCTCTCTGCAAGAAGACATTCTGCTTGTTTTATTTCTTTTGTTTTCTTGTCAATGATTTCTATCAGTTGGTTCATCTCAGTTTCTCCTCTCTCGTCCTTCTTCCTCTGCTCTTCCCTCCATCTCGTCTCCCTGGAGTCGGCCTGTTGTTTAAGACTTTCGATCTCAGTTTCCTTTTCTTTTAGTTTTCCCTCCATGTCATTTAAAAGCAGTAGTTTCATCTCCTCCATCTCCTGTTCTCTGTCTTGCAGTCGCTGCTCAGCCTCTCTCTTTTGATTCAGAATAATTTCTCCTCTCTCTTCTTCTTTTCTTTGCAGGATTTCGTCAATATCCTTTATATGTTGATTCAGTTTTTCTATCAGTCTTTCTTTTTCTTCGAGTTTTTGCTCAATCTGTTTCTTGAGATACAAATGATCTCTCTCTCCTTCCTCTTTTGTCTGCTGCAACTGTTGTTCAACTTCTTTTAAGTGTTCTTCTATCACTTTTATTTCTCTTTCTCTTTCATCCAGTCTTTGCTCCAGGTCTTTCTTATCATTTAAATGATCAATTTCTTTCTCTTCCTTTTGTTGCAGCTTTTCTTTCACCTCTTTCACATTTAATTTCATCTCCTCTATTTCTTTCTCTTTTTCTTCGAGCTGTTGCTCCATTTCTAACTTGTTCTTTAAATTGTCTATTTCTTTCTCTTCCTTTTGTTGCAGCTTTTCCTTTGTTTCTTTGACATTTAGTTTTATCTCTTCTATCTCTTTCTCTTTCTCCTCCAGCTTTTGCTCCATCTGTTTCTTATGATTTAAATTATCTCTTTCTCTTTCATCTTCTGCCTGACGCAACTGTTCTTTAATCACTTTTATTTCACTTTCTTTTTCCACCAGTCTTTGCTCGTTCTCTTTCTTGAGATTCATAATGATTGTTTCTTTTTCCATGTCACATTCTTGTATTGTTTCTTTGATTTCATTGATGTGCTGATGTTTTAACTCCTCTATTAGTCGGTCTCTCTCCTGCCCTTTTTGCAAAATGTATTTTTCATGATTTTCAATTATCAATTGCTTCTCTTTTTCATTTTCCAGCACCTTTTCTTTCATTTGGGTGGCATAAGTTTCCTCTAGCTCTCTTATCTCGCTTTGCCTTTCCTGCATTTGTTTCTCAATGTCTTCTGCAAACTGCTGTTTCAGCTCTTTAATCTCTCGTTGCCTTTCTTGCTCTATGTCCCTTATTTTATCACTGTACTCTTGTTGGAGCCTTTCCATATCTCCCTCTTTTTCTTTCACTTTTCTATCTATTTCCTCCTTGTGTTCAGCTCTCCTCGCCTCCATTACTTTTTCCATCTCTTTCATTTTTCTTGCCATTTCTTCCTGATGCTGCAGTTTTAACACTTCTATCTCTTTTTCTTTCTCTTGCATCTTTTGTATCATGTCTTTCTTGAGCTTTAGATGAATAATTTCCCTCTCTTCTTTATTTTCTAGCATTTTCCCTTCCATTTGGACGAGGTAACTTTGTTCTAACTCTGCTATCTCTCTCTTTTTAGCCAGCATTTGTTCCTCTGCTTCTTTTGCAAACTGCCCTTTCAGCTCTGCAATCTCTTTCTGCTTTTCTTGCTGAATGTCCCTTATTTTATTGTCATGCTGTTGTTTGACCCTTTCTTTATCTTCTGCATAGTTTTTCATCATCTGATCGATTTCTTCTTTGTGTTGAATTTTCATTGTTTCCATAGTTTTCTCCATGTCCTGTTGCTGCAGTTTAATGCCCTGTATCTCTGTCTCTTTGTCAAGCATTTTTCTCTCTATCTCCTTCTTATGTTGTGATTTCATTTCTTCCACTTTCCCCTCCATTTGTTTTTCATATTGTTTTACGTTATCAAGAGTTATCTGCTTTTCCTCCATTGCTTTCTTTCTCAGTTCTTCCTGCTCTTTGTCTTTTTCAAGGAGTTTATTTTCCATCTCTGTTTTTAGTTTGTCCTCCAGCTCTGCCATCTCCTGTTTCTTTTCTTCTACTCTTCTCTCGAGAACATTATCATAGTGTCTTTTAATCTCGTCCATTTCTGTTTTTAAAGAGTCAACTTTTTCCATCCACTCTTCTTTCTCTTTCTTTTGCAGCTCTGTGTTTTCTTCCAATTTCTTGACCTCCCTTATCCACTCTTGTTTTCGCGCTTTAATGGTATCCTCCCTCTGTTTTCTTTCATGTTCATTTTCTGCACTGACACGTTCAAGGTTGAGCAGCTTCAGTTGCTGCTCGTCAATTCTTTCTTTCAGCTCCTCAATCTCTGTCTCTTTTAGCTCCAGGTTGTGCATCGCCTCTTCCTTTTCTCTTTTACTCTGGTTTAGTTCTACGCGTATTCTCTCTTTCTCTATGCTCAGATCCTGAATTTCTCTTTCTTTATCCTCTGTCAGCCATCGCATCCTCTCCTCTAGCTCCCCAATATCAATCTTCCTTTCTCCAATCCTCCTGTCCTCATCCTCCTCTTCTTCCCTTTGAACATCAGTCTTTCCAGGTGATTTCACCTTTTTCTTCCTGTCAAAAAACCACCTGATGCTCTTCATCTCCCTCTCTCTCATTTTTTTCAACTCTGCCTCCTGGCGAAGCATTTTATCTCCAATGTCCTTCAGGCGCTGGTTGAACTTCTCGTTCCTTTGCTGGCTCAGATCCCTGACCTCGTGAACCATGCCAGAGAAAGCCTCACACCTGTTCATTGCAGCCATCTTTTCCACCTTCTGCAGGAGCTCTGTCACCATACTGGAGCCTCCATTTCCTCTTCCTCCTCCATCTACACTGCTGATGACATGGTACCTGCCCCTGCACTTCTCCAGCAGCCACTGGAGATCTCTGCCCCCACTCTGGATGTGCTGCTCAATATCCACCCCCTGTCGAAGCTGGTCCCCATGGGTGAACAGCAATATCGTGTGTCTCCATACACCCTCGCCCAGAAGCTCCAGATGTTCCCTCACATGTCCCGCCATCACCAGTGTATCCACCCTAAGAGTCAACAGGAGCGCATGGGGCCCTGGCAGACACAAGGCCACGCTATTGACAATCTCCCTCTTCACCCTCTCAGGCGTGGCACCCGCTACGCCTCCCTCCCAGCCTGGAGTGTCCACCACAGTCACCAGCCGCATAGCCACCTCAGCCTGCTGACGGAAGCACTCCTCTGTTACCGCCCCCGCATGGAAGGCACCAGTTTTTCCCAGAATGGTGTTCCCGGCAGAACTCTTTCCTGTTTCACGCTCACCCAGGAGAACCAGTCTGACTTCTAGTAAACGTCGGGGAACCTTGGAGAACGAATGGTGGGCGTCCAGCTCGGAACCCTGAACACCATCGCCTGAAAGGGAGAAAGGTTTTCTGTAATCGGGGCATGACAATACAAAGTTCATCCCTGATAAAATAAAGGAAGTTCCACTACTAGCTTGTTGGCTTCATACGTTGTTATTGGTGAACAAGTTACCTAAACATTGATTAATACAAGTCAAATATTGCTTTTAGCTCTGTTGTCTTGATCAAATGATCTCGGTCTTTAGCTGCTAAATGTTCATTTTTTTGCCCGCTTTTGTCCGTCTTACATTTGGTGCTCGGCAGGTAGCATACAGCGGGTTTATCAAAGTTGTAAACTAAATGAGTGAAACAGTAAACATTTGAGCCATTTGACCAAAAACATTGCACTCAGTGGGCTAATAGTGTTAATTAAAGAGTTCAATAGTAAACAGTCAAAACAAGAAGTTCACTTGGAGTTGTGTTTGCCAACAGTGAATGTAAGTCCAGTATTCACTCTCCTTTTAGCTTTATTTGGGTCTCCAACCACTCTCCAGGGAAATATCCAGCTCATTAGTTGCTAAACATTTGACTTCCTTCACTAGTATGTTCCCAGCTGCTAATGGGTGTTGGGCAGGTAGCATTCAGTGGGTTTATCAGAGCTTTAAGCTGGAAATGGATACCTACGGTTGCTGAAAGTGGTCAGACAACCATCAAGTAACTCCAGAAACCAAAACAGTGCACTAGACGGGGCTTAAAAACAGTCCACTGTGCTTTAGGTACATCATTATTACAGCACCATCAGCAACCTTATAAAAATGTGACAAATGTGTTTGCATATGATTATTTTACACATCCAGCAGACAAAGAGCAACGTTGGAATTGTGTTTCTGGCCAACTGGTGAATATAAATCCTACAGAATAATAATAATATCTGGCTCTTTAGTATCTAAATGCACCACTACAGTATCTTCAGCAGCTAGTTTTCAGCTAAACTCGCCTGTCTGTTGTGTGTTGCTGAATAGTTAGTGTGCAGTGGGCCGGAAAAGACCCCGAACGCCTTATAGCTGAGGGAACTGCAGAGTCAGATGATAATTCTTTGTGGGTTTGACACTATGAGCCACATCTCTCACACCACACCTAGTCATATGATCTACTGTTGCTAGTGATTAGTGCAGCTTTAGGCATTCATTTATATTTTTCTGTGCCTGATTGTGATATGATGTATTGAGGAAGATTTACAAATTGAACAGACTGAAGAACTTACTCATTAGAGCAGCTTTGATGGCCCCTCTCTGCATCTGCTCCTCCATCTGCCTCTGCTTCTTCCTCCTCTCCCTCGCTCTCCTCTTCCCGTCTGCTTCCAGGCCCAACAGAACCGTATTATCCATCTCTATATGACTGCTCCCATCCTTCTTCCTCACCACCATCACCTCAAGTTTTCTTATCAGTTCTTTCACCTGCGTGCCATCTCCTTTGCTCCGGTTATTCACAACATGGTATCTGTTCCTGCACTTCTGGAGGAGTCTCTGGAGCGCTGGCCCACTCGACTGGATTCTTTGCTCCATGGACATCAGGCCTAGTTCGTCTCCCCTTGTGAACAGCAGCATGGTGTGCTCCCAAACTTCTTTTCCCAGTGGCTCCAGGTGCTCCTCTATCTCGCTGATGTAGTCCTCTGTTATTGAGGCGCAGGATCGCACCACCAGAAGCACAGCGTGGGGTCCAGGAGGACAAAGTGACACACTCCGCAAAGTCTCTCTCCTCACCCAGTTCGGGGTGCTGTTGAGGGGGTAGTACCACTCCCACCCTGGAGTGTCCACCACCGTGACTTTTCTCCCTGCCACATCAGCTCGCCTTTTCACACACTCCTCCGTGGGCTTCCCACTCTCAAACCCTCCTCCCAAAATGGTGTTGCATGCTGCACTCTTTCCCGCTCCTTTCCTGCCCAGAAGGACCAGTCTAAGTTCTGAGAGAGCAGGAGGGTGTTCTGAGTCCATGGCGACCTGCAGACTCTCATCTGTGAAGAAAGGGAGAAGTACTTCCTCACTGCACCGTACCGGATAATCTGAATGACACAAAACACAGAAGTGTTACAGTAATCAGTCATCTAGTCTCCTTTTTATACATAAAACTGCATTTTAAACCTTATTTTTACATAATTGGATTGTTTACAAATTACAAATTAATCTAATCTAATTATCATGAAACATTAAACTTAATGTTTAGTTATTTCATGATAATGCATAATATACTGCATTTGATATACAGAAAGTATATACTTGTGTTAGTCAATTAATTTTACAAGCTTATTTCAGATGTAAAACACCTGAGCAAACAAAGAATGTAAGAGCTCAACCATAAACTCACCACCATTCGCGACGATAAGTGGACTGCAGGTCGTATCTGACGTGTCCATCACTACTCTGTACACTTTCTTTCGCTTGGCCTTCCTCTTTTTAGTTCCTGTATGTCTTTTACAGGAAGTATTTCTTCACCATCATTGTGAAAGACGATAGAAATACCCTGATAGGTAATTGATCCAAAATGAGACTATGTGCTGCACAAACTGAGTACAGACAGTGGAACACTTGCCGTGTCATGTGACCTGCTTGTGGTTTTCTAACGTGTTCTCCTCCAGGACGACAGGAAGTCAAGAGATGGCACAGTGAGCTTTTATGACACGTTAACATGCACATGTTTGCAAAACCCACAGCAATGCATACATGCATGCTGCACACAGTGGCAAGGATTCATTAATGTATGAACATTTTGTACATACAGAACATGTGTGTGCAGGAAGTCATGAGGAGAGCTGTAGAGCTCATTACCGTCAGGCGCTGTCCTGTGGTAAATGTGTGGCACGTCTGTTTCCTTTTCTCACAAGTAAAACAGTGCTAACTTTGCCTTGTGGTAACAAGTTCCTGCCTCGAATCATGTTGTTGCATTACTTTAAAGGAGAACATGAGCAAAACAGCAGACAGAAGTTGACTATATACAAAATGCACATTATGTGAAAAACTGCAGCAATTTATGGTTGCGTTGCATTTTTATAATAAAGGTTTATTTTGTAATCAAAATCTCACGTAGGATACAAAATGAAAGTAACAGCAACAAGCAAGGAAGAGAATCTTTCATTAAGTTTATCAAAGTGTCAAAATATACAGTTTGTTCCTAAATTCAACATTAACATAAAGCCAGTAACCACATATAATTCCCCTCCAATGATCCCTTCAATATATCTGCACACAATCTCACCGCGACATCCATTTAGCAATTGTTCTAGAGCATTCAATCAAACATGATCTTCCTTGTAATCAATAAGACTTGTATGACTCCCAGATACAGCGGATAATGTAAAAACAGAGTTTAGAGGAAAGATCAGGCTACAGGTAAGCAGTCAGATCTGGCAGACAACTCCAAAGGGTCGTAAGCAAAGGAAGGCAGACATACAGGAAAAAGGCTGGAAGCTGCCGCTTGGAAGGCCTGATAGACGATCTGGCAGGGAGTTGGGTGGAAATGGGATGTTGTTTATTATGAGGGGATAAGTGGCTGCAGGTGGGTGGCTGCAGGTGAGGCTGGGAATGTCCGTATCTGGCTGTAGCAAGTAAAAAACTGGGCAGCGAATGTGTAGAGAAGATCATGTGATATGATTAAATACATAAATAGCTCTTATTATCAAGTGTTTGAAAGGATTTAGTGCAATAATTCAATGTAATATTCAGCTTTTTATGTTGGTGGTAACACTTTACCTTAACCCTCTGCTATTAACATTTAGAGGCAGTATAAATACATTTAATAAACATGTTATAATACAATATATAGTAGCGGATATAAGTATTAATGTATTTGTCCAAGAGAAGTTGTAGAAGTTACACTTGTTTGTCCTTATAGCTATGTATATAACTACCTTATACGGTGTTATAAACCAACATAAATGAGGGCTTAAAGTAAAGTGCTAACCAGAGTTTGATGTCAGAGTTTGTGTTTTTATGCAAAAGTTAGATATTTTTAATCCCCCTAACAGTCGTTGTATTGTGTGAAGAGCCAGTATCCTTTCACCACGCCTGCCTGCTGTCACTGCACCTTGGCTGTGTGTCCCTGGCTGCATATATGGTACAACATGTTTTCATGTCTTGTCCAGTCTGTCCCATGAAAAACACACGCACACACATTAGATCATGTCCTTTATGATTCACCCTTTCCTTCAGCACCAGTCAGGGTTAATACAAACAAACCCTGTTTATGGAAAGGACTGAATCAGCCGTATTGATTTGGTGCCATTAACCCGAGCAGAGTTGTTTTGAGGTCTGTTAAGTGTTCAGTGAATATTACCATGATGGATGCCTTTTCACATGTGTGCTGCTTTTTGTAAATGTCAAATGAATTACTTTTTATTGGACTCCCTGCAGCAGCAGCCACAGCAGCAGCAACAGCAGCAGCAGCACTTCCCTCCAAATATGAGGCTGCCTGGCATCTAAAAGACTCCATATCATGAATAAAAAACAGCCCAGAAAATGCTCCCATCAACGTTGAAGCTCACAGTTGTTCTTTTTAATGTAACATATAAATTTGCATTGGCATGTGCTGATTAGTGTGCCCCTGAAATTAACTGTTCAATCAAGAAGATAAGTGCTAGTGGTGGAAATGGGAAACCCAGAGGCATACAGTGCAGTGTTTCCTCTGTAATTTTATTCCGCAGTGGAGCTTGTTGGTATTTTTAGCTTTGCTTTCACATCTGTCGCTGACCTGGCCATCAGTTTTAAAGTAAAGGCTGCAATAAAGTTTCTTTTTTGAAACATTATAAGGTTTTATCTGCTTTATAAAGAAAATTAAACTGTATTTTAATGATCATGTTTTGGGTAGTACTGATGGAAATTCTTGCTCATGGTAGCAGCAGATGATTAAACGAATGAATGAAAAAAGGACTTCTTGTGCATAAGCAATGTAGTGGATCGACTCGCTCTGAAACAGTGGTGTCTTTTATTTTGTTTGGACTCACTTCTTGCGCTTTATTACCCCTCAACACAGTATCAGTGCCAGTATGGAAAATGAGTGAAGGCAGAAAGCGGTCTTAGTAGTATAGTAGCAGTATCAGAGGAAGGACTGTAGGAGTAATAGCAACAGCAGCAGGAATAATGGTGGTCATATTATATAATGGTGTCACTGGTAACAGTAGTAAAATAGGTAGTTTTACTGTAAGTTACTTACTGTAAGTTACTTACAGTAAAAGTGATGAAAGTATTTTTAAAAAAGCAACAGTAGCACCAGCAAACGTAGTTTCTATCCTAAGACTCTTGATTTGATGAGGCCTGTTCTGGCACCAGAAGACCAACTGCAAGCCAACAACCCCAAAATCCAGCCATTTAGAGTATTTAAAGGTACCCAGTGGAGTTGGAGAGTATGGAGTAATGTTTTCACAAGTGGGTCCCTGTTTTTTTTACACATTTTTTTTTTTTAACTGCTTGACAGTTGACAGCCAAGAAAACTGGCAATGGAAATGTAGCAATGTGCCAACAAGGAAGCAAAGAAAAGGACTGTGAGTAAGCGAACATGGATGCAAACAAAAAAGGTGTCAATTTCTTTGAGGACGGGAATATATTTAGACCTCAATAAGAGCATTTCCTTTCAACTGTTTGTCTCAAAATATTGCACACAAAAACCAACATGTAATGTAAACATATTCCACAGTATGAGAGTTAAAGAAATTAAACAGTAATGAGTTTAAGAGGTTGCAGAAGTTATAGATAATGACAAGAATAACATAATAATCAAGTCTAATGCAAAAAAGTTAAGCAATGCAACAAAGTGCAATGGAAACGTATAAATCATGACGTAAATGAAGCCCGTGACTTAAACATCAATCAAGCTTCTGCTCAACTGGAGAGTGAGTTAAACAAATGTGTCTAAATTATGCACTAATATGAATGGAAACTTGACTAATGATGCACACAGATCGTTTCTTTCTAAGAAACAGAGAACATGAACTTGTGCTTATTTTAAAATAAACTTCACACCTTTAAGTCTGGGGTTCAAACTTGGGCCACTTCCGGTTCAGAATCAGCTTCAGTTTACCACAGACCAACTTAGGGTCAGGCACTATTCTGGTCTATTCCAGTCATGTACAAATCCAGTAAGCAGGCAACTTATTAGTGAAACTCCAATTGTAAATAGTTTACCAGGAATTACCAATTGAACTGAGACACAGCGGCTCAAGTAAAGAGGCCACAACAGTCGGTGTGGCTTAACTCCCATAACTGGCTCTTTATTTAGAGCCGAGACTAAAAACCTGAGAAAGTGAGGAAGAGGAGAGGATCGTACCACAGCTGGGAAGCCACTGGTGGAACAGTGGGAAGACCTGTGTAAAGATAACACCAACCAAAACCAACACCTCAAATAAAAGCATTACACTAGTAAACATGCAACCGCAAACCATAGCACCATCAAAAGCGAGCAGACCAACCACGACTTGCACAACCAGGAACAAGAGAGACAGAATTAAAACTCTTATTCTAATCAACCCTGAAATAAGCTAAAACAAACACTATTAAAATAGACATCAGAAAGAGCTTTTTCTGTAAACAAACAATGCAATTATATAAACATGAATTATTAGCAACACTAAATTAAAACATATTTGTATGAAGTGACAGATCATTTTTCTTCCACTTCTTAAACTCAAACAACAGAAATCAAATGTTGTCTGTATTTACAGATAGGCACAGCAGTGTTAACATGCTAACATACTGATGTTTAGCAGGTGCAGTGTGTGTGTTTAGCGTACTATCATTTGCACAATGTAGCACAAAACAGCTTGAGGTTGATGGAAATATGTTGTTTTTCATAAACATATAACCTGGAGAAGTCAGAATCTTGACCTGATGATAGCGCTACCTTAAAAGTCAATCTCAGTTTTTTATGATTCATCCTTTTGGGACCATGAATGTCTGTACAAACTTTCAGGGCAATCAATCCAAAACCTGTGGAGATATTTCAGTCTGGACCACTGACATGGCTTATATTAGAAATATAAAAAAAAAAAAAATGGAAGAAAAACAAAACAAAGATGTCTCTGACAGCTGCAGAGCTCAGACATCAGTTAGTGACTTTATCTCTCTGAGCTCCATCCAGCTGTGGGTTGTACAGACACGATAGATTCCACATCCTGTTCCTACTGACTGACCAGTTACACAACAAGCAAAGATCTTACACACACACACACACACACACACACACACACACACAACACGGATAGTGCTTCCTCCCCCCTGTAGGGTATATAAGTAGGAGCAGAAGTCTCCTAAGACGGAGCAGCAGCAGTAGACCGACTCCAACCAACAGCAGCTTCTCTCCAACTTCATCTGCGGTGCATCCACTCTGCATTCAGACTTACTTTACAGGTAAGAAGGTTGCATCTGTACTCAATAGTTCTGCTTTTATTGCACCGTAATTCCTCAGCAGTTGGTAACTGTGTTTTGTTTATACCTTCCAGATGTGAAGATGCAAATGAATTAGATGATACAGCTGAGAGTCATTTAAAACATGCTGCAGTTGTTGTGTAATCTTTTAGGATATTTTGGTGAAACATACTAAGATTTTGGAAATTCTTAATTATTCAATAACTGATGCACTTTTCTATCATCTGAAATGTGCTTCTCCATCATCTGATTCATCCTAATAATCAGGGATCATTAACTTGTTGAACTTATATTCACTGTAGTAGTAACAGTAACAAAAGAGCAATTTTAAATGTAAAAGTCATCATCTTCCTCCTCAGCTGTTGCAATGCATATTTTCTGTCTCTTAAAAGTATATTATACATGCAAAACTTGGGCTATTTAACTTGAGTTTTTTCTAGGAAAAGTGTAGTCACAGGAGTTTTATAGTGAGCACAAAACCTCCTGATGCACAAACAGGCTCAGCTCTGCTGGTAAACTGTTTTTTCTCCTGCGTCAGCATTTGCCAAAGTTGTGTTAAACATGTGTGTGTGCACATGTGTCACAAGTGTCTCAGACATGGAAAGGTTTTAGGTCACCGATACGCAGTGGTGTGAAGAAACTAAATGAGTTTATTCAAACCCCAGACTTGAGTTTTGACTTGAGTTTTTATATTTTATGTGACTCCATACTTAAGATAAATCTGAGTGGTATTAAACTGATTAAACTATTTGTATTGATATATTGGAGTTTTTTTCCAAGTCTTTGCCTTCAATATTCATGAGTTTTCCCTCTTTTCTGGTAAGTTTAGAGTGAAAATCGCTCCTTGGTGGAAGCGATAACAGCTCGTAGACACCTTAATGTGAGAAGTCTTGTAAGGAGTCTCAAGTCAAAGAGATTGGAAACCACAAATGTATTAGTAAAAGCTTATCATGTTTTCATGTCAAATATAGCTGTCAAATAAATGTAGTGGAGATGAAGTATAATGTAGAATAACAGATATATCATGTAAAAATGTACTTGAGTGCAGTATTTGAGTAAATTGTTCTTAGTTACTCTTCAGCACTGTGCTATCTGTCTGCCTGTCTGCCTGTCTGCCTGTCTGTCTGTCTGTCTGTCTGTCTGTCTGCCCACTTGTCGCTCTGCCAGTCTGCAGAGGGTAAGCTTGCTATCGGTGCCACTGGTGGTTAAGGTGAAAACAGAGCGTTCACTGTGTTAAACGATGACTCACGCAGCCAAACGTCGTCCCAAGCCTCTCTCTCTCTCTCTCTCTCTCTCTCTCTCTCTCTCCCTCGTCCAGCACACACCCACATTATGCAACAGTGAGTCTCACTCTCTCAGGCAGGTGTTTGTACCACGAACCTGACACACTGTACACCCTGCTAGCATCTTATAAATACAGTGGTTGTGTATTTAATGGTTGAATCCGCCTTACCACATACTTACATAATCATCGTGGCTGTAACTTCATGCCTCTCTGACCTGCAGTGGCAGCCCGCTCGGGGTCTTGGAAGCAGGTTTTAGGTAGACCCCATGTGGGCTGAAGGGTTGATGTAATTATAGTCCTATTTCATGTGGATTTTGTGAGTCATTCTGAATTCACTGAGGGACTTTGTTTTCATCAATTTGATGTGTTTACACCCAGGGCTAAGTTTGAGCCTGCTAGTGGTCAGTTGTGTTTTGTTTTGGTTAATTGTTTTCACCTTTATTGACTCTTTAAGATCATTTCTGGTCAACCATTAATAGAAATAACTTATCTGGAGCACTTATGTTTCTACTAGAAAAACTCCCATTAATACATCTACTATTACTTGTATTGTAGAAGCACTATTAGTTTCTCACTGCCTCCACTACCATGATGCTTCTATGGCTGCACCTAACAATTATTTTCATTACTGATCATTAATGTGCACTTTTACATTTAACTAATCAATTAGTTGCTTAAAATGGTGAATTTTTTTGAAGTATTTTGTTCAGTAAACGGTCCAAAACCCAAATATATTCAATTTAGTACCACATATTAAACCACAACATTTTGTCCATATCCTGCAAAAAGGTCGGGCAGGAGTAATTTACATCTTTTCATACTTCTGTTATTGTTGGTAATAATTTTAATTTTACTTTCTCTACCACTAGTAATAGCGTCAGTACTCCTATATGAATTATTTTATTTCAAGGAGTGGTTGGTCCCAGTCTGACTGCATGCAATATAAGGTAATACATAAAGAATCTCAGTGGATATTTATAGCCTATTATGTGTTTATGTCAAAATTTTCAGTACATTTTATGTGTAATCTGGTTGCTATGTCTTCATAACATTCATAATTACATGGTTTCACCCTAACAAAGACCACAGTAAGACTTTCCATGACCACGAATGACTCAATTATTTGTCTTGTCTTTTCATAAACATGATTAATGCTCTGTGTTAAAACTTTCTCTCTCCGTGACCACAAAAACACACAATATTTGTGAAGTGAAAATAAATCGACAAACACTAAAAGTGTCTTTCTTAACCAGCATCTTACAGGAAGGGGAGAGGCTGTGTGTGTACTCCCCTCCACCCAACCCACAAACCATGCAAACCACTTCCATGTGTGTGCTTCGTCCAGGCATGTTGGAAGTTTCATCATTCACAAGTTCGAATTTTTTCATGCATTTTGCTTTAACAGCTATTCCAATTTGAAAATCCTCCCCTCTTGAATAAAAAGGGACAAGGACACAGTTTTTCCACAGATGTAAAGCAGATGGTTTTGAAAACAGCTTGCCTACCATGCAGGAATGAATGGAGCATGATGGGAATTCAGCCTTTAGAAACTGCATGGATGAACAATTAAACTGACATATTTTGAATCTGATGTCAGAGTTTTGAAGGTTGCTGCAACTTCTTCTAAATATTTCCAAAATATTTAAACTAATGCAAGATATTTGTTTTCCCTTGACTCTCCCCTTCCAGTTGACTGATCATCCACCCTGAGCTACCACCACCATGTCTGATCAAGATGCCACCCCGGTTCCCTCTTCTGTCCCACCTGTTCCCACTGGACCCCGTCCCAAGATTACGAACCGTGGACGCTCCGCAGTTCCCATCGCCAGCTCCAACTCTGAAACAACCGACATACCTGAGTTGGAGTACTTTGGTGCACCGGGCCCAAGAGGATTTCCACCTCTGACTGGTGAGAGAACTCACTTACTGAACATCATAAAGCAGTTTAGAGGAGTTAATTCAACTTAATATTTCTAGTTTGTTTCAAGCTTTTTGACTTGAAAGTGCTGCTTGAGTGAGCATTAAACTACATTCTAAAGAAACCTGACTTCCCACCATGCATTGTTTGACAGTTGCACCCTTCAGAGATCCTTCTTCTTGTAGTTAGAAGAAGTAATATTTGATGGAAACTTGCAATATCTCTTTAACACAAGTTAAGATCAGTCATGTTTCTTCTAAATGAAAACATGATGGAGGTTATTGAATTCAGTCCCAACCGTCTTCTAATAATAATTTAACTGAAATCATCTTTGAATGTTGAATGCAGAATCAGTTCTTCATGTCAAAAGAAGAAATGGCTCTTAGAAACTGAGAAAATGGAAATAGGAAGCAGATTTCACATTTGTTATGACTAAACAGTTCTCAATTCAACATAACACATTAAGTTTAACTCATTTTTTACTCTTACCCACTTTAATGAGACTACTTATTATTCAACTTAAGTTATTTTAACTCATATACTTAGGCAGCTTTGAACCAACTTAAAATGTATTGTGTTTGTAACTCATCAACCTGTAGAAAAAGGTCATATTAAAGATCTTACTTAGATAGAATGTTATTTATTTTATTTTTTTAAATAATTGAAGGGCAGAAGACAGATGTCACAGTGCGTCTTTGTTGGAGAAGATAAAGTATTTTTCCCGACAGTGACACACAGTTTGCAGTAGGTTTTGCAGAACGTCCAGTACATGAATGGCGTCCAAACAAGATAAATTCTGCTCACTTCCTGCAGCTTGTCGCTACACTCCACCCTGTGTTGTTTTCAGAAAGCTGCACAGTGGGAGATATCTAGATGTGACAGGAATTTATGAATGCAGTGACTGGAATTTAGTGTGTGGTACATTAGAGCAGAACAACAAGATGTCAGGAAACAGTCACAAATAACTGTAGCCTATATACACCTCACTGAGGTTTTAGATGAGTTTACAACTGTTGACACATTTTGAGAGAAATGGTCTCCACCACTGAGCAGTTCTCCAATCAAATTTAACTTTGTTTTCCCACTTTATTTGACTTTTGATTGCAAACACCTGATAGGATTTAATGTCAACTCTCAACCTACTGCTTGGCAAGAAAACAGTGATTTGTTAAGGAGGCAGTGGCGTGAGAGGGGCAAATATGCACAGGGTAACAGTTTCCCCCCAACTCCCAATGAGAGTGGCATTTACTAACCACATGAGCGTCTTGGATAACCAGAGGGGTATTTCAGACTCTTATGTTCCCCTGTGTGGCATATAAATGTTTAACAGCACCCCCTGTGGCCTTACTGACAGTTATGTGATAATGCTGAATGCTAAAACAAAAGATCAGTGAATATGCAACAATATTTATCTTATTTATTATTTATTCAAAGTTTTCTAACATTAGCCACCATAAGCTACTGCTCATACCAAACCAAGTAAGGATGTAGCAGCAAAACCCTTGAGTGTAGTGAACGGAGCAATGGTGTGTTTTATTTCTTATTAATTAAACTTTTGATTTGTAAAAGGGAGATTGTGTTATTTCTTCTTTCAAAGGCTGTCTCTTTAAAATAAGCTTTTAAAAAAGGGCACTTTAGTTAGCATTCAGACCAAATCAAGCAGAGGGGTGTTTATTTATGCTGCCCCCTCATGTGTTCACAATGACCGACTAATCAATTAGTTATCTGGGTGTTTATTTATATTATACACTCTGTTTTAAACCATGTGTTGTTTTTATGTACTTATGTTATATACTGTTAGTTGCATAATCACTAAACCATTTGCATCTCCTCTACTTTTACTGGAAGCATTTTTTTACCTTGTACCAAAAGACCTTATTTACCGTAAACCTTCCTCTTGCAGCAGGAAACATCACTCTTAGGTGTATGGAGTGTGTGCACAGACAATCTTAATGATTTCTAAATATGAAAAATAAGTACTGCAGCCTTTTGTATACACATTTACAGTACAAAGTCAGAACACAAGCAACATCCTGCTCTCTCTCTCTTTCTCTCTCTCTCTCTCTCTCTCTCTCTCTCTCTCTCTCTCTCTCTTTCTTCCATTCCATTCAGAGTTTCTTGACATCTGGGATGTGGACATGATGAGGAGGCCCAATGAGATCAACAAGATGCAACACCACACCGTGTCGTACAACTCTGACTATCTCGTCGTCCGTCGAGGACAAGAGTTCCAGGTCAAGATCACGTTCAATCGTCCCTACAAACCTGCTGAAGACAAGTTCGCTGTGGAGTTTACCATCGGTGTGTTTAGTTTTAATGATCTGAAAAGTGATGTTTTCCTTCCTGCGGTTGTTAGAAGTCGGTCACATTTTTGTAGAGGCATCAAAAGCTTGTAAGATAAGATATCACATCAGCAAACTGAAGTACTTTTTTTTTATACAAATATAGCTTTTTGTCTCATAATTATGAGTAACATTGTCTTCATAGTTTGTTGATGTTGGCTCCCATATGGTGGAGAAAAAGAAAAATAACTCTCATTATGTATAAGGCTTTTAGTATTTTCTTACCACCAATTTTAGAGTGTATATAAGTGGGTTTTATTCCCAAGATTTGAACTGCCACTTCATATTGTGAAATGTTCTTGCCAATGACAACTTTGCTTAGTGCCACTTAGAGGAGTGGATCGCAACCCATTTTGCTTGCGAGCCATTCAATCAAAGAGTGATTTCAAAGAGAGTGAGTTTCTTTGACAGCATAATTTGAACACTTTCATAGGTAATCCTACACAGTAAGAAATAGAAGATCAGAGGGAAAAAAAGACACAGATTTGTTTTCCCTCTTTAACCACTGGCTTTGCTAATGCAGAGTTCAATATTGAGGTCAGTATTGCTCTCAAGAACTTAAGAACTTGATCCATGCTTTAACTCAATTAAAGAGAGCTCCCTCCTGTCTCATTACTATGTTACCTTCGATTGTACTATGTGTTAAATTTGCCTCCCTGTTCACCCAGGCTCCAGCCCCCAGTTCAGCAAAGGCACCTATATTCCTGTCTTCCCTACCAGCGAGCGTCAGAGCTCCTGGGAGGGCCGCATCACAAACACCTCCGAAAACACGGTCACCTTGGGCATCACTACTGCGGCAAACTGCATTGTGGGGAAGTACCACTTGTACGTCGCTGTAATGACGCCCTTCGGCATCCGTAGGACCAGACGTGACGACAGCCGAGCCCTCTACATTCTCTTCAATCCCTGGGCGGCAGGTTCGGTTTCAGCTTCATGACCATTTTATTGAACATGTTACTGGCCTTTGTCTATCTTTCATGCCCGTTAACATCCACATGACCTGCTGTCCTTCCTCAGCTGATGCTGTGTTTCTGGATGATGAGGAACAGAGGCAGGAGTGTGTGATGACTGAGATGGGGATCATCTACCACGGTGCATACGACGACATCTCTGAGAGAAACTGGAACTATGGACAGGTAGTACAAAGACAAATTGAGGACTTCAAGAGTGATTTTCAAACCATTTTTTTGACTTAAATGGTTTTTTCTCCTAGTTTAACTATGGAGTTCTGGATGCCTGTTTGTACATCATGGACCGGTCTGACATGCCCATCACCAACAGAGGAGACCCCATCAAGGTGACCAGAAAGGCCTCTGCTATGGTGAGAAATCCTCTAAAGACATATGAAACAGAAACATAACATATACGGTTAAATGATGCGTCAATACATACAGAACATAAATGTACAATATTGTTGATACAGTGAATAAAATTAATCTATTTGCTCACCGTTTTCTTTCCATGAGACTTCACTTAGAGGACCAGTGTGTATAATTTAGTCTAATTGGCCCAGCAGTATTAATACCACAAGTTAGGATGGCTTTACATTATTGTAACTTACATCTTCCCCTACTTATATATCTAGGAATTTCAATAATATACTAGTTGTTGAACAGAACATTTTAGGATTATATTGCATCAGAACAATAAATGTCAAAAACCTGCTCTTTGTTGTGTTCAGCTGAACTCTCGTGATGATGACGGCGTGCTGGTGGGGAACTGGAGCGGTGACTACACCTACGGAGTGGCACCCACTTCCTGGACTGGCAGCACAGAAATCCTGCTCAGCTATGCCAGCAGCAAGATGCCCGTCTGCTACGCTCAGTGCTGGGTCTACGCCGCCGTCTTCAACACCTGTGAGTAGTACTTTGCAGACCCCTTCTAAATTTTTTCTTGACCTTAGTGGAAAAGGTCATAACGTTATGGAAAAAGATGAGAAAGAGAGGTTGTAAGGAGATGGGAAAGGGAAAGGCAACGTGTGCAACGTAAATCTGAAAGTGTCTGACAGATAAACAAGGAATTGTGGGATAAAAATACCCAACTTCCTTTTATTCCTAGGCTCAAGGAGATAGGAAAGGAAGCTTTCATCTCTTATCCTGGCTGATACTTACACACTTTGGGTCAGTTCATTCACCTGAAAACGTTCTATCCTGTCTTTGCCTGTCTGTGTAGTCCTGCGCTGTCTGGGCATCCCGGCGCGGGTCGTCACCAACTACTACTCCGCTCATGACAATGATGGAAACCTGAAAACTGACATTATCCTGGATGACAACGGCAGGATCGACCGCAATCGCACCAAAGACTCCATCTGGTAACACATCTTCCATGACAGCTTGCTATAAACCAGAGATCTTGGCATTTTAATGTTTGGTTTGTTTTTTTACCTGCTGGTAGTGTGGCCTGTAGGTATTGTACCATTGATCCTTCAGTTTGTCTAACCAACACTTCTTTATCTTTATGTAGAAAATGCCCCAATAAAAATTATCCGCTGTACAGACTCGAGCAGTTTATGCAGAGAAGAGACAATTTTAACAGACAGGAGTTTTATTAGACTAATTTCTCTAATATTATTTGAAATAATATTTGTCATTGTCAGGAACTATCACTGCTGGAATGAGTGCTACATGTCCAGACCAGACCTCCCAACTGGCTTTGGAGGCTGGCAGGTTGTGGATGCAACACCACAGGAGACCAGCGATGGTAAATAATAATATTATCACACAATTTTCACACAAATGTGAATACATTTCTTGTTGGGTTGTACTGTATGTATATAAATAAATGAATGGGCCACTGTTTTCAGTTTTTTGAGTCAATTTTTGAGTCAACATTGAATCTCTTCTCCATTGTCCATGAAGGCATGTACCGATGTGGGCCTGCATCAGTCCAGGCCATCAAACATGGGCAGACTTGCTACCCATTTGATGCTGCCTTTGTGTTTGCTGAGGTGAGTCTTTAAACAACATTTTTCAGTATCATTTTATGTCTTATTTTGTCTGTAAAGGCTGAGAAAGTGGTTGTATGCAAGTCTTGTGTCGCTCACTTGTTCCTCATTTCTTAAACAGGACAGTATTATTCACACAGTGTTTAATTTTCTCTCTCAGCGCTCTTCTTCAAAACGGTTCAGTTTAGGTTTGCTCGTGATTTTTGGATAATCTCTCTCCCTTCAGGTCAACAGTGATGTGGTGTTTTATTCCCGGAGAAAAGACGGGACTATGGATCCAGTCAAAGTGAACCAGACTCATGTAGGCCGCATGATTTTGACCAAAGCTCCAGGAGACATGACCCGCCTCGACATCACAGATCAATACAAGTTTCCTGAAGGTCAGTGACTTCATCCAACACAAATCACAGTGTCTTAAAAGTGGGCAGAAACGGTTTCTCTGCTGCAGCCTTCTGATCAACCATCACAACAAAAATGCTGAAAGTGTGCCTCTGTATCTGACTTCAAATACACACTAACATGAATATATTTATCCTGTGATGAATTATCTTACACAAGCAGCCTCTAAGTCAGTGTTATGTTAAAATTTGGCTCAGAGTGTGTGTACATGTGCCGCTGAACGTAACAGCAGGTAGACCATTAAATTAGTTAAATAAAATGACAAAACACCCAAAAAATGGACTCGGGAGCTATATTTGTCCACTTGCCCAACCCTACTACAGTGTTCATTCTGGATGATGGCTGAGTGTTGGCACAGTCGGTTGTGTTCTGGCACCAGATGACCAGCTATGTGTCCCTATGTGGTTGCCAGGTTTGGCGAAGGTTTTTGGGTTGTGGACTTGGGATCCTTTTGGTCTGGAAAACAGCTCCAGTTGGCATCATTCTGACTTGGTTTAGGCCAGAGCTGGAACATGGAAAAGGACCAAAATACTTGGGCCAATTCTGGTCCCACAAATGTGACATGAATCTGCCAACGAGGATTTAGACTGCTTTAAGTCCAAATATGCAGACTTTGTAAAAATATAACCAGGAAGGTTAAATACACTAATATATTTCATTCACCCAATCCAGGCAGTAAGGAGGAGCGGACCGTTCTGGAAAAAGCGGAGGAGTATGGCTGTAAACGAGAGAAGTCCAACCCTCCTGAGGCTGATGTGGACCTGGTCCTGCCTACCCTGGAGATCAACATGGGCGACGACTTCGAGCTGAGCCTGGAGTTCATAAACCGCAGCGACCAGCGCCGCGTTGTGGAGGCTTACATCAGCGGGAGTGTGGTCTATTACACCGGAGTCACCAGCTCCGAGTTCCTGTTCAGGGATCCCACAGTGACGATTGGCCCCAAAAAAAGTGAGCAAGTTAATCCTTTTCTCTTTATCGTAATCAAATAAAACCCCAATGGCCAACAGAAATACACTCATATTGATTCAGCAACCACAGACAACACCAACTACATTACCAAGACTAACTGTTAGAAATCATTAGACATAACTACAACTCGTATTAAACACAAGAAGGCACTCAATAAAGCCTGAGAATGTCAATGCAGAGTCAATTTTTGTGTTCTCCAGGTGTGAAGGAGGTGGTGGTGATCGAATCAAAGAACTACATGAAGCGTCTGGTGGAACAGGCCAACCTCCACTTTATTGTTACCGGGAAGGTCAAGGAGACCGGCCAGATCGTCACCGCCATGAAAGTCGTCACCCTCCACAATCCCAAACTCATCGTCACGGTCTGAAATTCTGCTTGATTTTATTCGGGTTATACGTTTTGGTACAGACTTTGCATTATAGAAGATTTTAAAATGTATTTCTATTACTTTCTTTTTACCAAATGACCTTTTCTTGAATCTAAACACTTTTGTGTACTTCAGGTGTCCGATGGGGGCAGAGTGAATGAAGAGATGATGGCTACTGTGGAGTTTACAAACCCCTTCAACTTCAGCCTGGAGGGCGTCTACATCCGCATGGAAGGACCCGGGCTCATGCCGCCCAAGTTCAAATATTACAGGTGAGGTCAGCACAGAAGAAACAGGTCTTTGTGTGAGTGTAATCTTCATAGTTTACTCATCTAATATTATATTATATTATATGTTTCTGTTAGACCTGTTGAAAAATAAAATATTTTCATACAAAACAAAGAAAATATTTCAGTTCACCAGGATATTCCATCTGTACATGTTAGAAATTATTTTATAAAGTTAAGCTGGTACCTTTCTCATAACCACTTAAACCTTCAGCCGAAGTGAAAATCACTTGTTTTCACATAAAAAGCAACATTTTTTAATTATGTTACAGCTTTTATTCATTCATGTCAGTGTAGCATAAAACTCTCACAGGGCTGCAGAATTCAAACTCCATCATGTGGCATTTACACTCAAATATGTATATTTACATATGGATGGCAGCTATCTTGTATAATGCTCTTGTGTATGTGTATATATATATATATATATATATATATATATATATATATAAAATATCTTGATTATGGGAGAAAAATGGGAGAAAAATGTAGTTTAAAATGTTACTATGCTATGCATGTTGCTTTTATGGATGTAATAAAGGTATGGATCCTTTGCAGAATGACATTTTGATGTGTTGTTATAATTAAACTTAATTAAAGAAAGAAATGTTATTTTCTATCATTACTTAAAGAAGCTACAATTCACATTTTATAATAACAATGTATCAAAAGATATAGTGAAAACAATGTGAAAGGAGGCGCTCGTAGTGATTAAACCTTTAAATAATTATCATCTGAATCTTCCTCTCCATGAAATCCAGTTACCTTATTATGTCACAGCTTTTTGTTTTTGATGTCTTTGACTAATCAGCCCAGTCCTTTTGGTATCTAACTCTAACCCTGCTCGTTTCAGTCTGATCCCAAGAGGCTCCTCTCTGACCTGGACCGAGTTTTTCACCCCGCAGAGGGCTGGCAGCACCAGGGTGATCGCTACTCTGGACTGTCCTGCTCTCAGTCAGGTCCACGGCCAGGCGACTCTCACCATCGCGCCCTGAGGATCACGGCAGGATCACTGACGCCCACCGTCACTCAACTTACTTACAGCTCAAATATAGGCGCATGACATAGTTATGTATCTGTAGGTTTACAACAGTTTAACAAGTGTAGCTTCAGCATTTAACGATGGTGGTAGTTTTAGTTATTAGCAAAGATCTCTTAGATCTCGAAGAAAACAGTCATTTCTAAAAGTGCTAGTTTAAGAAGAGGTGAATCCACACATTTTTGTACCGTATCAAACATTTGACTAAGTAATTTTTTATGCTAAAAAACAAAACAATTATATTCTTTTTGTGACATTTTTGAGGGCACTACACAACGCATACATTTCAAAATAAAATCAAATTAGTGTAAATACAGGACTCTATTGAGTGAATATGGAGGGATTTTATACACAGCCTGTTTATTTTATATCAGAATCAGGTTTATTGCCAAGTAAGTTTTCACATACAAGGAATTTGCCTCGGGACATCGGTGCATAAGAATCACAATCAAGTGTAGATAACAATTAAAAATAGAGACAATAAAAATAATCTAAATCAATTATTTGGCTACCAGGAGGCAGAATTACGTCCAAAACAAGCTGACAGACACACAGTCCTGACATATTATTGTCAGGTACTGTTTATGAAGTCAATAGGGCTAACGTATGAGCAAACATTGGCCCCTTCACAAGTCCAACAGACAGAACAACATTATCGACCCACCCAGCTGTGTGCTGCCGACCTGATGTGTGCACTCTCATTTTAACTCAGTTTAAGTCACCACCAACCCCTGAGACAAATATCTCTGTCATTATTTGCTAAATGTTCAATGGTCTTCAGCAGCTAGTTTCTAACTCTGTCTGTTTGCTGCTTGGTAGGTAGTTTAGTGGACTTATCAGAGCTGAAAGTAGCTTCCCGCAGCTGCTAGAAACAGGTTTGATAAGGGCAGCGAGACTGAACAAAGCAGTAAGTAAACATCGAGTCAAAGAGAGCTTTAAATATGAGATAGGAGTGACCCATTCGATGCTTTGTTTCATTTCCTATACAAATACTCCCACTATGGAAGTACATATATTAAACTGAAATGTTTCTGCTTTAGAACTGTAAAGAGCTTTTTCCACCTCTTTATATCAATAAATATCAACCAAATAAAAGATTCCCTATACTGTAAGTGTGTGTTTGTGTAAGTCAGTGGTGAAAGTCTAAATAATTCACAGTGAAACCATCAATGATATGACCAATTTTATTTATTCTCAGACTGGTATAAAGCCAAAATCCCCTCCAGACATGTACACATAGTATCTTAGAACAGTAATGTGTGTCTGATTTGTTTTTTCCACATAAAAAAATAAATAAATGTAATTTCCATATTCAAATCTTTAAATATGCTCAAAATATTCCTGAATCTATTAATATACAAATGTATTTCTACAGTTTTCCTGATGGACACAAGATGTCTCCCACTTCACTGTAAAGTCCATTTTCAGTGTTTGTGCAATGGTTGCTTCAAGTTTCTAGTTTGACTTCCAAACTATTTGTGATGTCACAAATCATGCTTCATAGGCCCCGCCCCTTAAAAATCAGACTATCAGTGAGCACAGAGAAACTTTCCACTTTCAGCAGATGAATGTGAAAACATCCTTCTAGTGTCAAACTCCACACACAAATCATTGTGCACAGTGAAGCTCAAACATCCAACTGTAGAAACAAGAAGAAAAACATATTTTTGACTGGAGGGACTTTAATCATTAACGGCTTCAGAAGCCAAAAACAAAACTACGCCTTCCTCGTTCACTCAAACACTCCATTTATATATTATATTTATGTTAAATTTTCCTCAAACATACTTTCACAAACTATACAACTACAACTTTAAGCAAACTTAACTATCTAACAATCGAAAGCTCATCTTTTATTTTAGCTTTACTTCATTCTCAGAAGTAACATTGTTACTTTTTTGTCGTTTTTACCTCAAGTATTGTAATTTCATTACAAAAAAATCAAGTCACATGAAAAGTTCCTGATAAATTTCATGAGAAAGAAACCAAAGAAGGCAAATCTGCAGCTGCAGCAGTGAAGAAGGCTGCTGGTGAGTCTGCAGCTGCAGAGAAGTGACACAGAAATATATGTTCTCAATGTAAATGTCACTGGGCGAGCGGCAGGTGGAGTGCGAGGTCCAGTCGTAGCTGGGCCCAGTTCTGGCAGTTTGTGAATGGTGCAACAATAATAATATTTTTTTGTTAACTCCATTTCACACGTTAACGGTCTCAACCAAGTTTATGATGTCTCTGATATCTCACTCACTTTCTAAATAATGTACCGGTTACAGGTCTGGGTCTGAACAGGAACCACGGTCCACCTATTACACACCTCAGTACCAGGGGATGAAGAGAAGGGATGGCAGGTTATTGGCATTTTGTTTACAATAGAGATAGCACCCCCTTTCAAATCGCCTACTGATTCTACATTAATTAAGCACCGATTTAATGAACCACACAGTGAGCACAATAAGTGACTCAAATCAAACACACCCACAGTGTTGCATGACCAACAGGTGCATGCTGGGTCCAGCTCACAGTGGATTCTCCAGTGTTGACTTGACTTTGGTGTGTGAGGTTTTAGAGAATGCTTGGTGTGTGTTATTTATTTTTGTGTGCAATTGTATCCACTTCTATTGGTATGGACTTAAGGATCCTGTTGTGTGATGTGTATACGTTGACATGTTTGTGGCCTAAATGTGTTCTTTAATGTAATAAGTCCATCGTATATCATCATCATCATATGCCTTTTTTCTGTGCCCTCCTCAGAGTCACTTAAAGGTGATGAGGTAGTCTGGGTACGCTTGGTTGTCGTGGAACACAACATACATGTTGGGGTTAACTATTGCGTCCACCACACTGTCGCAGCGGTCGTGGGGCTGCTGGTCATTGCGTGGCGGAGGAACCTTCATGTTGCTTCGGCCCAAAGTGTAGATGCCAGTCAGGACTCGGGCCACAAACATTAACTGAGAACCATCAGCAGCTGGCTTGGAGTAGGTGGGGTTGGCTGAGTAGCTGGCATTTACAGCAAAGTAGGTTCCTTGACCGTACGCAGTTGCTGAGAATGAGAGAAATAGAGAATTAACAACTCAATAAAAGTCGTCATACCTAAACAAAAGACTGTTCATTTGAGTGTTTTCTCATCTGTAGTTCCTCAGTTAAAGGAACTAGGATTAGGATAAAATGTAACCATCAGAAAATTCAATTAAAATGTCTGTCCTTTTATTTCCCATTCGTTTTTTGCTTCTTTTGCTTGAAGTTAGTTACATTTAAACGTACTAAAAGGACTGGTTATGACAGTCTCTGTCTCAGTCTCAGCCTCTACGTGACATAAACAAACAAGACCATCAGCATCAATATCAGACAAATTGAGGTGGTAGAAACACTACCGCTTTTGTCCACAGAGGCCACCAGAATCAACACAAAATGAAAGTTCCTTGTAGCTGCTTTAAGTATATGATCAGTCCAACCATGTGTACGTTTCAATTGTTGAATTTAAACACCAGGTCACCCCGACATCCCAGAGAAAATGCAGAAAACGTGATCTCAGAGTCCTCAATGTTAACTACGACCCTGCACACAAAAGATCTTTACCGTTCTGCCCAGCAAAGCGCCTGTTGAAACCAGTTTTCATGATGGAGTCACAGTTGTCCTGGGTTGTCCCGTGGTACAGAAGCTTTTCACCTGCTCCGCCCTCCAGTTTGTTCTTATCAGAAATGTGTTTCTTCTGCACTTCGTAGGCACGTCGCAGATGAACATTCTGCAAGCGCTCGATCTATCAAGAAAACAAAACAAAATGCACTGTGATGATTGCACGTTAAGAACGTTATGTTAAGAAGATCAAAGCTTTTAAGCTATCATAGAGCTTAACTGGAAGGTGCCAAAATGACAATTTTGAGTACTGCATTCACCTTCATTACAGTCCTTTGGACAGTTCGTTTGAAGGCCTCCTTCACTGTGCGGTACTCTGGAGAGGAATGCTGCAGCACGAACGTCTGAAAATCTTCACCGTCAGCCATGTTGTCCCAATACAGAGGGAGAGTGAAGTCTGGAGAGAGTTGAAGGTCAAAATTAATAGAAAATTACAGATATTGTAAGTAAATGTGTTTTCTGTTTTTCTAAATCAAAATGCATAAATTCTGTTATGTATTTTGATATATTTTTCCCTTGAGAAGCAGAATTTTGTTTAATTAAGTAAGGTAAATCTACAAGGTAAAATACAGAGAGTGGGACCATTTTCTCTATTGCACTTTCACTTTTGATATAAAGAAAATCTTTCATGGAGCTACTTGAAGTGTGTATTTAATGGGATAGTCTCTTAAAATGAAATACAAATTAAATGAAGCCCAATCAATACATTGATAAGAAATACTGCATCAGTTTAAAATTGTATGTTTGAAAAGATAAATTCTAAAGCAGCACGCTGCATAAACAACTGTTGGATTGGCAGCATTTATCTTTACAATAAATGGTAATTCAAATATTATACATGCACATTTTTACTTTACTTTCTTTTACTTTGTGACAAAAAAGATTTTAAGATCTACATTTCCATGAAAACCCGGCAAACTAAATCTGAAGATGAAGATCATGTGATATGACTGAAAGTTCCAGAGCAAGGATTCGCTTTTTTATTATTTGTTTTTTATTTTATGTTTATTTAATATTTATTTGTGTAATGATTCTAAAATGGAGACCACAGAACCATTATGTTATTTAGATTTTTATTATTCTAAAGTAATATAGTTTTATTGGTTTGTATTGGTCTCAAACTGCAGTATCAGTCAGACTTTGTAACATCAATGTTCATCTCCTCACCTGGCAGATTCACAAGTCGTTTCAGCTTCGCCCTCTGTCCAGTTAGTTGTCTTGTGGCGTCCAACCTCTGTAGATCCACACTCCACTGGATACTCTGTGCGTCCACTATCCCTCTTGCTATATCTTTATTTTCCAGGTTGTGATTGGCTGTTTTGGGGAGTCTCTCCCAGTTGCCGTTATGTCCCAGGATGCACCAAGCCACGCGGCTGTACAAATCCTCCTCCTCCCTTAATCTTACCTCTCTTCTGAGGTTGCCCTGCAGACAGGTATTAATCATCTGCATCACCTGGTTCACCCCATCTTTTAACCCACTCACTGTTAAGCAGCCCTGGCCAGTCTGGTCCTTCTGCATGTACAGACCGTGAGTCTCCACCAGCTGCTCCAGAATCTTTATGTCATCCTGTGTGAGGTTTTCCAGCTCCTCCTTTTTGAAGGTTTGAGTGGAGCACTGAGCCTGATACAGATCCTTCAGCTTTGACTTGGCATCGTCAACATCCTTTCTGGAGAGACCCAGGAACTGGAAGACGGACTTCTGACTTGTGGAGACGATACAATGGCTGCTTAGGTCTAAGCTTAAAAACGAAGGGGGTTGTTGCTGTGGCACCTGATACAACTGAGGCGCTGTCACTGCAAAGTAGGTAGAAAGATAGCAATTAGTTAAATCCCCAATAAAATAATGACTTTCCCATTAAAAAAAAGCGACACATTTCTAAGCAAACACAAAAGAAAAAGGCTGTTTGTGAAAATGTCCTGTTACCTCTGTTGATTACAGCAGTGGAAAACATTTGCATTGCTTCCTCTTTAAACGCCAAGAAGACATTGATCTTGATCAGGACAAGGTGGATGTCGGTGAGACTGGTGAGAGGAGTGGACGATATGGCAGCCTTGACCCCTCGGATGATGGCAGCTGCCACGACTCCAGGGTCCAACCCTCCCATTCCTGCCAAATTGTTTGAGTTTTTACTGACAGAACTAAAACTGACACTGATTTGAGCTGAAAAACTGACATTACAGAATACCTACCAGCACAGATGGCAGGAATGGCCACGGATGTGAATCCATATAATTCACAATGTTCGATGATGCTACACACCAGTTCTTCGACGATAGCTGCATCCCTTTGTCCACACACATGTAAAATGGCTTCACAGGGGAACGATCCAGACTGGGATACAAAAACTTCCCCTTGGTTTACTTTTGCTGCACACAAGACAACAAATACAACTTAAGTAAGAAGCTGTAAAGCATGTGTTGTGAAAATGTCTATTGTGTCCTCTGTCCTCACCTGCTTTAAGTTCGGCCTCCACCTCTGGTC